CGAATTTTCACTAATGTGGAAGCCAGAAAAAAAAAAACAAAAAAACAACCAACCAATCTTTGAAGCACAATAATACTGTGAAAACGTATTTGCCACCAAAATTATTTCATATAATTTTTCCTGTGTTACATCTCCCTTGCTCCACGATTTTTCCCCTAAGTTTTTTTTCTGAACATGGTGAAATAAACTGGTGGACAGTTTTTTTTTGTTTTGTTTTGTTTTTTTCTTTTTGAGATGGAATTTTGCTCTGTCACCCAGGCAGGAGTGCAGTAGCATGATCCTGGCTCACTGCAACCTCCACCTCCCCGGTTCAAGTGATTCTCCTGCCTCAGCCTCGCAAGTAGCTGGGACTACAGGTGTGCACCACCACGCTTGGCTAATTTTTGTATTTTTAGTAGAGATGGGGTGTCACCATGTTGGTCAGGCTGGTCTCAAACTCTTGACCTCAAGTGATCTGCCCACCTCAGCCTCCCAAAGTGCTGGGATTACGGGTGTGAGCCACTGTGCCCGGCCTAGTGGTACATGTTGAAAGAAGGAAAAGCAAGCACTGAAAATCTATATTTATGAAAAATTTCTTGGGTTAGGCAACATCGACTAGAGCCTGGAGAATTCCCATCATTACATGTCAAGGGTTGCTTTTGCTTTTCCTATGAACAGTACCAGGAAGGAGAACATCGACAGTGCCATGTCCTATGTCCACAGCATTGTGCTCCTTCATCCTTTATTCCTGGGATACATTTGGGTAATAGGAAAGGGGTATAGTGTGAAGTCACATTTTGAGAAAAACCAGGTGATCCTTACTGCTCATAAAGTAACATCCCCCCATCATTGCAAAGGAGTTTTCAGAATTTACATCTACTAACCTACAGCGTATACATGGCTTTATATTCTCTAGCTTAAAATGACACTAGGAAAGACTGCACAGAACATGTGCATAACCAGTGTTTCCAATATTTTGAGCTGCCCTGACAGAAAGAGATAACAATAACCAAAACTGGTATAGCATTTACTACATGCTTGGCAATATTTTAAGAATTTTACATGGATTAGTGCATTTTCACAACTCTCTGAGTTATGGTCAATGAGTCCCATCTTAGGAAGAAAGTGAAGTACAGAGAGATGACAGAAGTTGCTCCACATTATATTATTGATAAGGGGTGGACAAGGATCTGCACATTGGTGGTCTGTTCTGAAGTCGCTGCTCTATCCTGCTTACTGCTAGGGCAATGTAACCATAGAAAGGGGGTAAGTAATATATTTACATTTTTCAAAATAAGTGTAGAGAGCAAAACCTAAAAAAACAGGAACTTAGAATTGTACTCTTTTATGTGATATCAGAAAACCTGGTTACAATAATTTTACCCGTTAAAAATATGTGAAGGCTTGTTTCAGAAACTAATTTTCTGGGCTCACATCTTATTCCAGAAGATCAATGACTGCATGGTACATTATACATAATTTAATTTTCCCAGTTGAACATCGTGACACTATATGAACCATGAATGCACGAAATAGGAATTCCAAATGTCTTCCATATGGTAAGAGGACTTTTGGATACTTCTGCAGGAAGCTTAAGAGTAGCTCAAAATTAAGTTATGCCTGTTCTTAGTGACTTTTATTATGTATGCCTAAGGTATTAGCACTTTCCTCTGAGTGGGACTCGGAGGTGATGGATAGATGAGTCTGCTGTCTGTATTTAGGCACTTTGCTCATTTCCTGAGCGCTGTGGAAGGCATGTGGATGCTCATTAAGTTTCCAACCATTCCCCGAGAGCAACAGGTGGTGAATCAAAGCTTCCCTGGTATGTCGTGGCTGGTTTCCTCAAAGTCCTGGAAATAACGGATGGCATTTGCATGCTCTCTGTAGCACCAGCAGATAAGAAGGAGATGAATAGCAACAGGAAGTATTTCCAAAGCATAAACAAGCACACAGGTCTAGGAAGATTATGAGTAACGTTCTGGCAACTACACATTCTATATCCATACATGGTGGTTTCATCTTTTAAATACTGTTACTTGTTCAAACTATGAAATCATAGTTAACTGTCATGTTAACTATGTCATGTGGCTACCTAATAGAAGAAGAAATGTAAAGGAAAAAAGAACATTCTAAGTTAAGAAAACTATGACATAAAATTATAAGCCTTTATTTAATTCTACCTTTATAAATATCCAATGAATACTAGTAGCTGTGATGTATCTTT